CCACGGTCCCTGGCACAGCTGGGTGATGGGTCAGCACTGAGACAATGAGGAATGATCAACATCCTGAGGCAGAGGACTGGCTGAGGTCCCTCCCAGGAACCCCTAAACAGCTTCCCTCTTGTGCTTAGATACCTGGACTAAATTTAGGTGAATTATGAGTATGGCAAGGTCTGCCTTGGCTCCAGAATGGGAAAGGAGGAGCAGCCTTCCACCTTCCCCATGGCTCCATCAGATCTGCCGGGACACGAGATATCAAAGATTGAAAATGGCCTAATTAATACACTAGCTTTCTGGACCCTGCTGTGGGATTCCAGGAATCTTCCACCAGCAGGAAGGCACTGGGCTCTTCCTGGCACCCCTGAAGCCTCTATCATGGGACCCACAAAATGTTCATGGTACCGTTTTTATACTTTTCTGAATGTGCAAGAGGGGTGGATGGCAGCATTCCATCTTCTCCTTCCACTGTTAATACCCACATATTACAGACTGTTTAGAACTGGCCCTTTCCCAGCCTATGATCTCCTGTCCTGAGACCCTGGCACTTGCAAACATGTTTCAAGCTGACTTTTTAGATACACCCCACAATCTGCAAGCATCCCCCAAATTTGTCCCAGTCTCTTCCCTTTTGAGAGCATCCTGATCTCCTGATCCAGAGTCTCCAGCAATAGCCAGCAGTTTCTTGTGCTTCACGGACTGCTCCATACCACGTAGGAAGGCTATGGATAGTGGCTGAGTCATTTTTCCCCAAACTTAATATCTTTAAAGCCTTGGTTCATGTTTAAGATTTTGTAGATCTCCTGGGACTATGGTCCTTTAAAGCTTTGGCCATCCAGGCTGTGACCCTAGTCATAGCTTAAATGAATTTTGAGAGCAAAGAGCAAACATCTGCAAATCATACCTTCAATAGAAATTAGCAGACTAGAAGATCATAAAATTGAAGACTTTTCTCTCTCTCGGCACCATCAATCAGTTTACATCTGTGCATACCATTTTTGTGCCAAAGGTATATAACCTATATTAAAAATAATGAAAATAACCAGAAACTATAAAATATTATAAATATTGCAATATTAACACTAATAATAATGAGAAGCATTGAATGGAGCATTATAAAATGTCTTACATTATAGAGCTATATTACATCTGATATTATCATAACTGCCGTTAATAATATTTCCCCAACACTCACAATCTGAGAACATTTTCTGAGCCCTGTCTCCAAATGTTTGGCTATGCCCGACTCCGCAGCTGACGTGAATTCCTTGTTCACTGTCTGGTGATTCATTGCACTAAATACCATTTCCCTGATAATTAAAAACTGCTCACTGGCAAGTGGGAGCAGGAACAGGCTGATGCAGGATTTATGCAGAAACACAAAATGAGCCAAAAGACAAATGACCTGTTCTGCGTGGCTGAAGGCATTTTTTTCCCCCACGTCTCCTTCTGGGACTAGGAAAAGGGTAGCTGTGATGCGGGAGAGAGGTCTGGCGAGATGTGTCATCCAGGGATAAGATGGATGCAGGGAGAGCCTTTAGAGCGCATGTTCAGCCAAATGGTTCTCCAGACTTAGGAAAAGGGACCGCCCCAGCAGAGGAGTCCAGCCAGGGCCATTCCTAGGCTGGCTGTATCAGACCCTTGTCATTGCAAAAGAACTGGGTTTGAATCAATTTTAGACTTCTGATTTCAGTTTTTCTTCCTCAATCTAACAATGATACCCTCAGTTTCAGGGAAAACAAAGGCCAATTCCTACCCTGAACAGGTGCAGGATGTTCTAAACTGACATTACATCAGCTCTCCTAGGCTTTCTTGTGAAAGACTTTGGTGATGACCAAAGCCCATGCCTGGCCCAGAGCAGCAGATGAGACATGGTGTGCATGCCCACATACACACACATTCATACATGCATATACATTTGTTTGCTCACACACACACTCCATATATACACACACTCATATACATACACACACACACACACACACACACCTTAATTCCACACGCCAGTGAGGTAGCACACCTGCTCATGAATAAACCAGACAGTAATTAGAAGGTGAACTTTCTCCCATGAAGATGCACTTGCCTGGACATAATTGGCCTGAATGAATCCTGGCACCATTAAGAGATGAACCTCTCCCTTCTGGGAATAGTTCCTTCCCAGAACTGATCAGGACCAATATCTGTGGAGCTCATTAACTCAGAATCCTCTCTCATTCATCCTTACATATGTCTTTACTTGCAAACCATTCATTACAGCACATTCTAGATTGTTTAATTAGTTTTCGTGGAAGAGTTCCTGTAGGACAGCTTAGCACACATCATTTAAAAGCCCTTAATCCAAAATAACATGGTGGTATTTTTAAAGTAACTAATATAACCTTAAGCAGCTTTCATTCCCACTGCCCACCCCCACCAGCCCAGCTTCCTACCTCCCCATACACTTCCTAGAACAATTTACTGATAACAATCATGAGCGTTTCAGCTTGTGAGCCCTCCCTGTACACCCAGCACCATGTTAGATATGTCACTTGCAATGTGGTCTTTAATATTACAGCCGCCCCAGGAGGAAGGTGTTTTTCCTCCTTCAGCAGCAGAAAAAAATGATAGAAGAGATGTATGTGGTCTTGCTGCAAAATGCCCAGCTAGTGAGAGGCTTCAGAGTTCTGACCTCACCTTGGGATCCCCGCCTCTGGCCTCTCAGCCTTCTCTCATCTCAGTCCAGAACTGGGGAGAAGTCACAGGTTGTCGACACTGGCCTGGCACCCCTTTAGCATTTTGAGTGGGTCTTTTGCTGTGGCCTTGTCTCCAGTGCTCAGCCCTCCAGCACACAGGGGCCAACGTCCGCCTAATACATCTGTGTTTCTTCACCTAAGCGCCTCTCTGGCCCTGGACCCTTCCGGCCGACCTTCACAGCAGGCAGAGCAGGCCCCAACCAATGACTGACGGGAGTCGTGTGCTGCCTCTCCAGCTCACGCCACCCTAGCTGACTCTGAAGCTTGTGACCTCAGAGGTTCCTTGGGGTGGGGAGTTAAGCCTATGTTGGTTACCCACAGCCAATGGTGGTAAGTGATTTGAGGGCACACTTTTCTTAGGCTGCCTTTCCGTCCTACCTTACTGCCCGCTGACCTGCAGATACTTCTTGGGATCACCTCCCAGATAATCCCAGTAGGGATCACCGCCTACTTGCTTTCATAGTCTTATAAGTTGTTGCTTCTGAATAAACCTAAAGTGAGACTGCCTGAACATGCCTGTCTGGGTTGTTAGACTTCCATGTGATTTCACTCATTCTTGCTCTTTACTTGCTCTCCAGACCAAAGGAGAAAGAGATGAGCCTCTAATTCTTTCCCCTTTGTCCGCTGCTATTAAAGTAAAATTTCCATTCTCTCTCCACCCCTACCCCAGGGATTAAGACATTATATCATAAAGATGAGGATTTTCTTTGTTCAAAGTTCAATCAATAGATTCCAAAGTCCAATCAATAGATTCCAAAGTCAACATGGTCATCCCCAAGTTTTCAAAGAGCATTTTAGGTTGATGTCTAGCACACTTGGAGTGCTTTTATTTCATGACTGGGAATAATCCAAATTTCAAAAAAAGTAATTCCTCTGGGCGAGGTACCTGGCTTTAAAAACATTTCCCCTTTGAGTTCTTGGCTGCATCTTCCTTCTCCATCTGGATTAAACTGACCTGAACTGGTGACTAGGGCAACATTCATTTGGGGTCACCGTAGAGCCACCAGAAGTTTTTGGATGGGAAATGTCATTACGTGATCATTTATAATATATAAATTATCATTATATATGTATATATATTTATACACATATAAACTAGACTGTGTTTTCAAGGCTGGGGGTTGCTGAGAAGGAGCCGCAGTGGGGTGTGTGTGCCGAGAAGGCAAAGCTCAGGGAACCTAAGGCACCTAAGCCGCAGCCACAGGGGCTTTTCCCCACCTGCCTGCCCTGCTGACCTGCCTCTTTCAGGAACCAGACAGCAGCTGCGGGAAGGGAAAACTACTGATCTTCACAAGGCTGCAATGCCAGACGGTCCTGTTCAGCCTTTGGAGCCCACCTCCCATCTCACCACCTCCAGGAAATCCCTACCCATGCTTGCCTAATGACACGTCCAACACGGTGAAAAATGACGTTGTGATGAATCCATTTGTTTCTTGGGTTCCATTTCCTGTTTTCGTCCCCTCTCTTCCACTTTTCGAATGTATTTTTTCTGCAATGACAATTCTCTATTTTGTCCCCATGCACACCTATTTATCTTGCCACTGTAAACATCAGTGACAAAGTCCATATTCCTTTATGTATTTCTCATTCACCATTTTATTCACTTTTCATACTTCACTGTGTCTGGAGGCATGGGGGTTCAATTACCATTTCTTCTTTCATTCCACCTCATTTATTCTGTGTAGACTTTACAGTTTTCTCTCTCAGTATTTTCTATGCTCTTCTCTTCACGTTTTCTGTTCTGGTTACTGGTTTGGCACTCCTATCTTGAGGTTTTTCTAATAGCCATTTCTCTTTTGCTTTTAATCCATCCTCATACCTCTTCCAGCCCTGGACACAGCTGTCAGTTATAACCTTAACGGTGGCCTCCACTCAGGAAAGTTGTCAAGTTGATAAATATTGATATCTGCCCTGCCATTTCACCACCACTTTTCTGCTAATGCATTTGGTTGGCATCAATCAGCTTCTTTGCCTTCTATGAGCGCCTGCTGTGGGAACTGGTCCCGATCTGTCACTTATAAGTAATCTGCTCCACATTTCATCAAGAGCTCAAACACAGAAAATATGGAGGAGAAGTAGAGGACAGAGAACCAGACTAGCATGGCCCAGAGGGAAGGGAGACAGGGAGGTCCAACAAGGAAAAGTGAGGCAGCCGGACGTGTAGGAGAGTCGCCCCCAACCCAGCCAGACCATGACTGCTGGGGACACCAGCCAGTGCTTAATGTCTGCTGTGCCCTCTTTGGGATGTTAACCCTGCTTATCTCCTCCAAAAAGGCTCCCCAGGGATGAAGATCTACATTGACCCCTTCACTTATGAGGACCCCAACGAAGCTGTCCGGGAGTTTGCCAAGGAGATTGATGTCTCTTTTGTGAAAATCGAAGAGGTCATCGGCGCAGGTATGGCTCTTCCCTCCCCTCCTTTCTTCCCTCTTGGTGTTTAGACATCCTCTTTCACCACTCTGGGTGATCTCTATCATCTTTCTCCCCAAAAGGTGCATCTAAGCCATCTACAATGTGTGTCTAAGGATCTTCTGGGGACCTCGTTCACGGTGTCCAAGCTTACTTGGTGTTGCAGAGAAGTCAACTCTGGTTTTAAAAGATTCAGAAATAGCTCTGGAAATGGAACACCAAATGCAAATAGAGAGAAATAGGGTGATAAGTTGAGAAATGCGCTTCTCTTTTCAGAAGCTGAACTTAGTATCCCAAGCACTGACTCTAATTGATTTCCATGGCTTTGGGCCAACGTTTATTTCCACACTTTCAGTTTTCCTTTTCTGATATACATGGATTTGGAGACAGACTATGATGAGATAAAGAAGGACCACTGTTTCCAGAAGAAAACTCACCCATATCCATATTTTCTACAAAAGATCCATGATATGGATGGTAATATAAGACAGACTTCCCTCCCAAGAAATGCATGTTCTCATCCATCTTCCTACATTGGAATACAAACCCAGCCCAGCAGAAAATAACTGTGTGATGTCCTCTCAGGAAATTCTACCTAAAGGCTGGTCTAGCATTTTCATCTTCCTTTAATAGATCAGTAGTTGAGTCAGTTGGATAATGGATCCAGCCTTATTGATATAAATGAGAAAAATATCCCAAAATATCATTCCTTTGGAAATAATCTCTTTAGTGCCCCCTCTGTGGTCTTTTCTGAATCTTCTTAAAAGATGTGTTTGCTTTGCATCCTCTTTCCTACTTGTGGTTCCTTATACAACATTCTTTGTCTTCTCTTCTTCTTTAAATCAGATTAGATGTTGTTTGGGCTCTCTCCACTCATATGCTGTGTACTCCCATAGCTCCTATGTCTGGAAGTGCTTTTTTTTTTTCATGTCAATATTTGGAGAGCTATGGGGTTGCCTCTTCCAATATTTTAAGCTCCATAAAATATGTTTAGTCAAAGTCTTCCAGACAGCCACTCCATATATTATCTTTAGGGGGAAAGTCACCCTCCTCCCATTCACTGCCTCTCTTAATGCGCTGAGGGGTCAAAAAGCCATCTGTGAAATTGGAAGTCGTATTTGAAACCTTGCCCCATTAAGTCACATTCTCCTGCTCTGATTTCCCTCTTAAAGAGCTCCAACCTCATGGCATCCCTGTGGTGGGTGCTGGACCCTCCCTGTAGGGCACATGACCCTCTTTCTACCAACCTCTCACGTGTTCCAGCAAGCTGACCATAATCTGATCCACATGAGTCTATATATATTTCCCATTGACTTTCATTAAATATGTTACTGAACCACGACTTTCACTTCTGTGTAGATAATTTTCTCTTCCCCCTTAGACACCAACAGACCTAAGGATCATGCCTTAGAAGGCTGGATCCCAGATAAACTGGATAACTTGAAGGGACTCAGATTTCTCCAGTAAACTTGAAAGTGAAAGCTTTTGATCTCGTACCCTGCTCCTCTGTGTTGTTCATTATTGTTATGTCATGTGGCAATGGTGCTAGTGATTTTAATGTTGTTATTTATGTCGAGTGCTTAGAGCAATGCATTGTGGACTACATTTCATCCCAGAGATCCCATGTCAGCCCCCCTCCCATCTTTGTCAGGGGAGGAGTTAAGAGCCTTCTCACGTTATGACCCTGCGGGGAGGTGCAGCTTGGAGTGAGCTCACCGACTGCTGGATGCCTATAAAAGGACAATCCATGGCCCTATTCCATCGCTTACCTTCTATCTCTGGGTAGCCTTTGCTGATGCTGCCATGTTTGTGCATTCTGCTCAGAGAAGACTTAGTCCCTGCCATGGTTTATCTGGTCCTGGGGAGGGATGGATACACAGAGCAGTTTAGAAGATGCCCAGGAGCTTGGGATAAAGTCTTCTGTCCAGTTGCTGCTGACTGCCTTCTACCTGATACCCATCTGCTTGCAATTCAGAAATCACACAGCTCATCCCTGTGGATGTGAATTCACTATGTGGAACTTGATGCAGTTTCATCAGGAGACACTCCTGACTGGAGTCAGTCTCTATCCGCCGATTCTTCCTGTCTCCACTCCTGCTTTTCCCACTCCTTGCCTCACTGAGCTTGACTTCACTTTATGCTAAAAGAGCTGGTGTGAGTTGAGTTTTTTAAAAAAGAATTTTGTAAGGTAACATTTGTAGTGTAGTTGGCAATATTTCCCTTAGCCACGTGGCAGATTCAGCTCAGGGGACCAAATCTGGGATCCAAAATGGTAATACAATGTGAGAAGAAGAATCAGAAGTCCTTTCCCTGTCCTTCATTTTGTTCCTTTCTCCTTCCCTCAACATGCTCTTATTAAGTACTTTTTGCTTGTAGATGTTGAGTCCCAGAGATGAACAGACACTCTCCTGCCCAGAAGGCTTATAGTCTTATTGAGAAACAGGCCAATAACACGTTCACTGTTTCACACATCCCACAACACAGGCAAATGTGAAGTTTGGGGCCAACAGAGAGCAGCGTCCAGCTCCTTGTTCTGGGAGTGAGTAGGGAGATCAGGAGGACTTTGCAAAGAACATCATCTTTGGCCTGAGCTTTTAAGGTTGAAAACTAGTAGGAAAAGTAAGTTTGGAGGAAACTCATGGGAGAATGAGACAGAAGAGGAAAATTAAATAACTTAAGGAGGGAAATGACCATGGCCTTGCAGCAGTGGTGTGCTGAGCCAGTTTGTGCTCCTTCGCAGAAGCCAATTGTATGCATCATTTTGCAGCCCTGTGTTTGGTGACATCTTGGTAGTCTGACATCAGCCATGGGAGGAGTATTTACACCATGATAATTGACAAATGCTACAAATCAAAGGTTTTGTTTCTTCACTTCCTGGAAAGCTGATAGTTCAGCACACCCCAGGCCTTCCAGAATGTGCAAGATAATTTCGAAAAGGTTGCAGAGAAACTGGTCCATTCCTGCTGCATATAGATCCAGAGGAGAGGGCTGTGTTTGTTGCAGGAAGGATTAGATTGAGAATTCAAAGAGATCCTCATTCATTAAAAATTGATTCCATGCCTGAAACTGTGGTGGATGCTGAAAAGCACACTCAGCGCCTAATAATCCCGGCTGATGTGTTGACACAAAGTCCTACTCTGCAGGAGGAGGGGATGGGACTGAGAGGTGAGATGAGGGATCAGAGAACACGCAGCCCTGGAGGCAGGAGGAGGAGAGGCTTGATGGCCAAAGGAAGAAGGCAGGGAAGAGGCACCTGGGGGGCCCCTAAGAACTTGGGGCTGCTGGATGGGCTGATGCTCTGTGTGGCACACTCTGAGAGCAAGGCTGAGAGGAGGCTCCTACAGAGGGGATCCCTGAGGGTAGGTGACTTAATCAAGCACTAAGTCTGGAATCTAGCGATCTGGAGGTTGGGTATGGATTTTATCCTATATAAAATGGTGAGTGAGATAGTCTCAGAGCAGGGTAGGCGGTAGAAGTGAGGTGGGAGAAGAACCTGATGAACCTGTGTTGATTGAACTTAAAAGGGTGATGGGAAAGGTTTGTAAGAATTCAGAGGCACGTAGACCAGTTATGGGGCTGGGAAACATGGAGGAGGTTTGAGGTGGTCAATGCTGGAATCAAGTTTGGTAAGGAAGGCTGCTCTGCAACAAGTAGATCAACCTAAACCAGAAAGTACCCAAACATGGTGAATGAGGGGGCCAGTGGGCTTGATGGCTGGAGCTGATGGGGAGACATGGCATAGAGGTTGTGGCCAGAAGTGATGGCCATCAGGTTAAACACCTTAAAGGGAAAAGGGGGCTGCCTGGCCACCAGGGTGTGGGGACTGGTGGTTATGCTTGCCAGTAAAGGCCAATGGAATAAAATCTAAAAACTTTGGGATTGAAGAACTGCACCAACCTCCAAAGTTTCTTCTACCATTGTTGAGGATAATAAACAAAGAAATCAAAATAACTGTGAGCCAGATGTGACACCAACCAAGAGGACTGAATTACACTTGACCCTTGAACAACACAGGGGTTAGAGGCACAGACCTCTCTGTATGGTTGAAAATCAATGTGTATAACTTGACAGCCAGCCCTCTATATCCATGAGTCCATATCCCTGGATGGGATATGGACTCATATCCATGAGCCAACCATGGATTAAGTAGTACTATAGTACCTATTTATTGAAAGAAGTCTCTATGCTAGTGAACCTGTGCAATTCAAACTCTTGATGTTGATCAAGAGTCAACTGTATAATTAGTTCATTTATCATTATGTAATGTTTGTTTTGTTGTTGTTTAGCCATTTAGTCATCTCCACCTCTTTTGTGACCCTGTGGATTATAGTCTGCCAGGTTCCTCTGTCCATGGGATTTCCCAGGCAAGAATACTAGAGTGGGTTGCCATTTCCTTCTCCAGGAGATCTTTCCAACTCAGGGGTCGAACCTGTGTCTCCTGCATTGGTGGGGGGATTCTTTAACATTGAACCACCAGGGAAGTCCCAGTATTTGTTTAGTGCCCCTCTTTTATCGCCATGCTCAAAGTTCCATGGGAGTGATGAAATTTGAGTGTCTCTGTTAGTCCCAAGCCTGGCCTGCTGTGGCACTAAGGTGCTCAGTTTAAAATGTCCTTGAAGGAAAATCATAATAGGGATAAGACTTTGAAGAACTGGGTATAGTTTGGGAGTATGCAGAGAAACCAGAATGAGGTCACATCAGATTGTGAGTCATTCAGTGCTCTGAAAGGAGCCTAGTGGAATGAAGAAGACTGATCTTTCCTCTTTTCCTTGCAGTGATGGGAATTACTGAAGTCCTTTCAGAGAGGGCATCTGCTATCTTTGGAGAATGTCAACTCTTTGATACCATAAATCTGACTCATAGGAGGCACTCACAGGTCAGCTTCCATTGACCTGTGGAGTTCTGATCCACTGCTTGATTCTGATCAGTTTGAACTGTAGACATGCCCAGAACATAAACTAAGGCTTCCATGTATACTTGGGCCCTAA